AAAAAAAAAAAAAAAAAAAAAAAAAGCAAAGGTTACTGCTTTGGTACTATTTATTCTATGAGACAGTCAAAGCTCTTCCCCACTTAATAGCCTTTCACCATCTCCAGAAGCAACCAGACTCTTTACAAGGTCTTTTTGTTTTGCCTTTCTATAATAATAATAATGTCCTTTTGAGTCAGCAGATGGCAAGCTAGAGAGACTTATATCACACAGAATGTCAGGGGTTGGAAGGGACCTCAAAAGATTATCTAGTCCAGTCCCCCTGCCAGAGCAGGATAATCTGAGCTATGTTTCTAGATCATCTATCTATTTCAAATTCGTTCTCTCTTCAACCCACATCCCAGCTATCTTCACATACTCTCCGTCCCTGTGACTCCTACATTTCACATTCTCAGTTTGCTGTCTTCTCTGGTAACTGTAACTTGGCAATTCTCGGCAGAGAGAAGGGCACTGCAATGTGTTTGTGACTTCAGCATATGCCCAGTACGGCGTCTCGAGTCTCGAAGCAACACTCCCGCCCGGCCACCCTCTGAAGAAGCCTCTGGCAAGCTGTTGCTTCTCAGCTCGTCCAGATGGACACGATAGCCGGCTGGGCAAGCTGTGGTGCTTGAGTGAATCGCTGAGCGGGGTGCTGTCTGGAGGGCAGGTGCGCGGCTCCCTCCCCAGCCCTGGACACAGACATACCTCGGGGCGCAGCTCGGGAAGTGGGGAGTGCTTTTCAGTGCTCTTGGAAAATCTGAAACAGACCGAAAATAAATGTGTCACAGCTCTGACAGGGGTTAATCTTCTGCTGGACAGATGAAGCAAAACCACCAATGCTTCTCAATACTCTGCCTTAAGCAAGTAGTCGCTATTTTGTTTCAGGACAGGTTCAGGTTTCAGTGACAAGTAAAAGTTGTTGGATGAAGGTATTTACAAGTTCAGTTCCACCTGCCCTTTTTCTCGGCATATGAATTCTCAGCTGAATTACAAAGGGATCTTTATTATAAAACTCAGAAAGGTGGGGGAAAAAAAGAATCCTGGAAGTCAAAGCCGACACACAACGTCTTCCAAGTCATTAACGTCCTAAGAATATTTCACAGGAATGCGCACAGAAGTGAAAACCTAATATAGTTCAGACTTTGAGAGAAAATTCTCAGCAAAAGCAGTAAACAGGAGGGAGTGTACTATAAAAAGTGCAGACACAATATACAGAACAAAATACATTTGACAGCATGCAGAATTAAATTAAGGAAAACTAAAATCAAATCTGCTTCAACCATATGGACTAAGGCAGCAGAACATAGCTCAGCACCAAACACATCAGAAAGCATTATGTGAAGTGAGCAGCAATTCCATAAATCCAACAGTCTCATTTTACTACCACGCTATAGCAGGATATTTGTCCCTGCATCCTCAGGGAAGTAACAGCTGATGTCCAGACTAAAAAGCACAAAATCAAACTGCATGGTTGTCTTACTGAGGGGCTGCCACCCACACTTGCAAAAAAAACTTCTAGGAAAAGCTACTACTGCTACTAAGACCTTGGTAACTTTGAGAAAGTCACTGTACCTCTGCATCATGTGGCCCTAAAGTGTAAAACAAGAGTAAATCCTCGCTGTCTCCAAACCAGGTCACAGAGGAGCAGAGTCAAGACTGCAGTGTGGTTTAAAAATCACCAGGGATTTGACACATTAGAAGCGTTATTAAAACACCGAGACAGTCTAACAATGTTTCCATTAAACATCCCATCCTTCACTGAAGAAGTTTATGCTCTGGCACAAGACAAACAACGAAAAGAATTTCAGATGAGGCCTTTGCAGTAGGATGTGTTCCCGCATCTGGCAGCTGCGTTCCCAAGGGACACGCATTTAAACAGCCAGAAGTAATGGAAATGCTTGGCTACCTTGGAGTGCTTGTGAACAGAGAAGTGAAAAAGCAGGAGAAACAGGTATTTGCAGTCCATGGGGACTGAAACGAACATGCTCGGCATCCCAACAGCCCCTCGCAGTGCAGAGGGGTTCCAGCACGGAAGCGTTACTGGCCGAGTAGGGGAGACCAGGGTCATTGAGGTCCTCCAAACCCTCACTTCAGTGCACTGCTCTTCAGGCAGCTGGCCAGGCCAAGCAGAAGACTGTGAAAATTGGTTTTAAATGCTACATCAAGAAGGCACACGCCAACAATGTCCAGCTGAAGCACTCAGAACACCCTCCACCCTCCTAATCTACCCTTACTCCAGTAGCTGCCCCGGAGAAGTGCAGTTTACCACATGCATCAGGGAACGGCACACCAAGTTTATGTTCAGAAAGCAGCAAGGACAACTGAGGTTGCTAATAACAAACCAGGGAGTATCCAACACTGCCTGAGGTGTATCACACACGGTAAGAGAAAAGAAATGGAATTTCTATCCTTTGTTGTTACCTTTAAAAGTCAGAATAAGAGGCTTGCAACTTTAAATTGGAAGTTTATTTTAATTTCTGCTTTGCATTCTGGAGACAGGTAATTTTTCGTCACACTGTGCAAAGTGCTGCTGAAAATATGTTGTGTTTTTCTGCAGTATAATTTTATTGCTGGCCTTCTGCCAAGAGTCTTTCTGGCAGCATTTCCCGCAGTTGGAAACTGTGTATCTGGGTCAGAAAAGACAAGCCGCTTTTCAGAACAGCTCAATACATTTGGCAGAAATGCTGATATTGTAATTGAACTCTTTCAGCAACTCTTTTTATGATGTACCCAGACACCAAACAAAACAAGATCTGCAGTGTTGATTAATGTCAAAATAACCGACAGAGAAATATCAAAATAATTTTCCTTCATGTTAAAAGTATCAACAAACTGAGGGGAACAGATAAGAAATGCAATTCATGGGGATTCAGTCAGGAGCACGGGGCAGAGAAATCTGCAAAGTATGCCTGACCTTCTCCTTGTGCAGATCGTTACCATTTTAAATCTGAACTCCCTGTCCTCTGCACGGAACTGGCTTCTTCCTTCTTCAGCACCATAGGAAGAGAAATCCTTGCCACTCACAAGCACGTAAGCATTCACAAAGATGTGCGACTGCACATATTTATACATATTTAATAAGACTCAAACTGCTTCCAACAATACACCCAGCATTCAATTTCACCTGGAGATCGTATATTCACAGGAGTTTTATTATTTTCCAAGTAATGCAATTCCTGGCAAAGTTGCATCTGGGTTAGCCTTTAGGAGACTGGAATTTTCCAGCCAAATGAATAATTACAAAAGCAACACGACAGTTAAAAGCTGGAAAGGTACTTCCTTTGGCAAATTCTTACACTTCATACAACAGATACTCAAGTCTAGGATTACCCCTGCCTGTTCAGTTCTCACAACGTTTCAAGAAAAGGCTCCTCTGCTCAGAAACCTCGTAGAAGTAGCCCCAATGCTAAGTGCAAAAATCAGGGGCGGATCCGACCTGGAATCACACCACCTGTGATCGCCAGAACAGAGGAATCGGTCG